TGTGTGTGTGTGTGTGAGAGAGAGAGAGAGACAGATACAGAGAGACAGAGAGAGACAAAGAGACAGAGAGCAAACACAGCAAGTGCACAGCAGGAGTCCAGATGGCATCCCCTTCACTGCGGCCCAGCCTCCTGTTCCCCATGAGGCTAAGCCAACTGTGACTTCCCCCTCTGCCCTCTCTCCCCCGTTGTCCTTACACAGAGCCCAGCCCGGGTGCATGTACTTTCAGTCATGACTTTCAGCTCTTTCTTCAGGCCGAGAGACGGTCCTCCGCCCACAGGACCCACAAGAACGTACAGGCAGGCAGACAGGGAGTCTTGCTCACCTCTCTAGCCCGTCCCCTCTTCCTCAGATAGCCCAGGCCTGAGTACAGTGCCACCCACTGCCTTCCACAGTATGTGTTTCCTCTTGGGGAGCCAGACTCAGTCCATCTCTCACTGTGAACACAGGACTTGGAGCTATGCATGTGGGTCCCTCGGTGGTCCAACCACAGGACAGGGCGGAGTCAATGATTTTTCTTTCTGGAACTATGCACTAGACCAGTACTGTTGCTGTGTTGCACACAGATGACTTGGCAGAGAGGGGCTGCCCAGTGCATTGTAAGATGTATATTGGACTCCTTGGTCCCAACCAACTGGATACCAGGAACACCTCCATCCTTCCCCAGTGTTCTCAGTGTGATAACCAAGTCTCCAGATATTGCCAAGTGTTCCCCAGGACCAGAATCACCCTGACTGAAAAGCTGTGATCTCAACCCATACCTCAGCTGGGAAGCCAGAGCTGGCTTAGATCAGGACTTTGCATAAGACCTAACAGAGTGACGGAGAGGCCTCCTCAGCTCTACCCTTCCACTAGGCAACTTTGGGCCGGTGCCCTCACCTCTCCGGGCTCCCAGAAGACAGTGTGGTGTCCTGGAGTTAAAGAACGTGGAGCACTGGAGTGTGTGACACAGACATGCCTGTATGGATTCTTGGGCCATTATCTTCTGTCCCCATGACACCCCGAGACTGAAGGTGATCTAGCCAGTCAGGGAATGTGAGTGAGAAAGAAAGCATACAGAAACCCTTCCCCTGTGACCTCAGAGTGAAGGGAAGTCATGGACTGAGGAGGTGAACTTGAATCCTCAGAGAATAAGTGGTGTGACTCCCACTTTCGGCAAGGAGGCTTTTCTCGGAGTTAACCTCATTTCTTAGTGTATTCTGTCTCCCTCTCCCTTGCTCTGCCCCTTTTTTATTATAGCTGATTTCCTTCTAATAGTGCCCAGGCAATAACGTTTCAGTCATATTGCTAGCAGATTCAAATGGAGTTAATGTCATTGAGTTTTAAAAAACATTCACAAAACTATCCATTCTGCATGAGAATAAGCAGCATTTCCAGGGGAATGAAGGCCTCGCTTCCTCCAGTACAGAACCTAGGTCAGGGGAAGCCACCCCTTACCTCCTCCAGTATAGAACCTGGATCAGGGGAAGCCACCCCTTACCTCCTCCAGTATAGAACCTGGATCAAAGGATGCCACCCCCTTACCTCCTCCAGTATAGAACCTGGATCAGAGGATGCCACCCCCTTACCTCCTCCAGTATAGAACCTGGATCAGGGGAAGCCACCCCTTCACCTCCT